GCTTGCCGTGGACCGTGGTGGGTGAGGGTTGGGGCGATCTTACATGTCCTGTAGAGCATTAGAAGCCCTTCTTTCCAGCTGAATTCTCGAGGAGCGAGTGGACAGGAGTGTGATGCGGACTGATCCCATCGCTATGTCTCTGGCTGAAAGAAAAGAAGCACCAAACAGAGCAGCATCCCTGTTACCATGGGCAGCCCCTACCTCTCTGCACAAGAGTCTCCAGCATCTCACCACATCCATCTGTGTCCTGTTGTCCTGATGGAGCTGTCACTGCCGTTCTGGCCTGCTCGTGTCACCTTCCTGCTTGCCGGGGACTGTGGTGGGTGTGGGTTGGGGTCATCTTACCGGTCCTGTAGGATGTGTACAATTATCCAGCACAGCGCTGGAAAGGAGCGGCCGGCAGTGTGCAGTGGTTCTGTTTGGTCAGTGTCCTGTAGGGTGCTGTGAGCTGTTTGAGGTGAGGGCCTGAGGAGAGAGGAGCTGAGTTGCTGTGCTCGAGTTTGTGTCCAGAGCAGAGCTGGAGCTGCAGGAGAGGAGCAGGCAGCTGAGCAGCCTCCCCGTCAGCACGGGCAGCCATGGCAGGGCCCAAGTACAGCTGGGCCAGCGTTCTGGGGCGAGGCCGTCCCTGCCCCTTTGTGACATGGGGCACCCCCTGCCTGCTGTGCCATGGGCAGGGTGTTACCGGGAGTGGGGGGGCAGCAGGGGATTCGGAGCCCAGGCCCGGGCTGGATGGTGGCAAAGGTGTCCTGGTGTTTGGGCAGGGCTGCGGGACCGTGCCAGCAGGCTGTGGGAGCATGCTGGGGTATGGCTGGGGCTGTGCTGCCTGCCCTGCAGGGCTCGGAGAGCTCCCCGCCGAGGGGGAAGAGGCCAGGAGCGTGCCCTGGGTCGGTCCCGTTACTGCCTGTGTGTGTGGCTGGGAGGGGAGAGGCTGCCCCCCATCTCTGCTCAGGGTGACACGTCTGTTCTGCCCACCGTGGGAGCATGAAAGAAGAACTAAGTGAAAAATAAACATGGAAAAGCCCAAAGCCAGGGGTTGTGATTCTGGGGAGGGGAATCAAGCAATTGCAAGAGCAGCTGCTCAGCAAAGGTGAAATGAGTTCATTGAAATGAACTTTATTTCAGCTAAAGGGTAAAGTTAAGGAAAAGCTAAGAAATCCCAAAACTCTACGAAGAATGAAAGCAGCTGAAGTGGTGTCAATTGTATATATCATTTGCAGGGACACTTCCCTTAACAGCAAAGATACTCCTGAAGGAAACGCTGAAGGACATCGTTAAGCTCAGTCTTGGTGTGACCGAAATCAGTCCAATTTTGGGTCAGAATTATGCCTGACGTCATGCAGTGGGGCCCCAACCCCAGCGACAGACATCAGTGACCTTTGTTGGTCGCTTATAAGGACAAAGTGGCGTTTGGTTTTGTTTGACCATAAGTAAATGCACGGAGCTTGCAGAGCAGCTTCCATGTTGCTGCATGAGCACATCAGGCTGTTGGGAACTTCAGCCCGTGTTCCTGCGGAGAGCCAGGTTAGAATAAAGCAGGCAGTTGTACTGGGGATAGGGGAACACTGCCTGGATGGCCTGCGGCCTCCCCATAAGGAAGAGAAGGCAGTTGTACACAGAGCGCCCTGTATTTTCTCCTCCTTTCCCTACTGTCCTGGTTTCAGTTAGGACAGAGTTAATTTTCTTCCTAGTAGCTGGTAGAATGCTATGTTTTGGCTTAGGATGAGAAGAGTGCTGATAACACCCCGATGTTTTAATTGTTGCAGAGCAGTGCTTACACCATGCCGAGGACATCTCAGCTTCTTGCTCTGTCCTGCCAATAGGCAGGCTGGGGGTGCAGCAGGAGCTGGGAGGGGACAGATCCAGGACAGCTGCCCCACACTGGCCAAAGGGGTATTCCATACCATCTGGGGTCATGCTGAACAATATATAGGGGTGGCTAGCCGGGGGAGGGGGGCTGGACTGCTCGGGGTGAGGCTGGGCATCGGTCAGTGGGTGGTGAACAATTGCATTGTGCATCACTTGTTTTGTACACATTACATGTAGTAGTACTATTATCGTTGTTGTTGTTGTTATTTTCCTGTCTTAATAAAATGTCTTTATCTCAACTCACAGGCTTTACTTTCCCGTTTCTCTCCCCCATCCCAGAGAGGGAGGGTGAGTGAATGGCTGTGTGGTGTTTAACTGCCGGCCGGGTTAAACCACGATACCACAGGAAATAGAGAAGCACTGAGGACTGGTGTGTTGGTTGTTCTTGGTTTCTTGCTGTATTTATGTGTGGTTTCTATTCAGATTTTGGGTTCCTATTCACGTTTTATTTTCAGTATTTTATTTTTATGTAAACCTAGAGTTACAGCAGTTAATGCGTGGCACAGCATTTACCTGGCTGAGAAGGCAGCACCCCAGGGTGAAGCCCAGGTAAGACACAGGCGTTTCCAAGCCAGCTGCCTGTGAAGCTGACCACACGAGGCTGGAAATGGGTAGGTGAGGAAGTAGCTAGAGGGTATGAGCATGGGCTGAGCACAGGGCTGAACAGGGGCATGTCAGAGTGCTACAGGCTACAGCCAGGATGAGGCTGCAGGTACTGACTCAGCTAAGGGCTGAGGCAACAACAGGGCCTCACTCCTTCGACCTCCCCTTCTCCCCCTGCAGACCCCACAAGGTTTATCTCTCTCTTCACCACAAGTGCACCTTCCCCCTCTGCTCATCTCCTGCACCCTTCAGAGCACACACCCTGGCACTGGGGGATGGCAGGGAGCAGAGTGGTAGGCCTCACTCCAACCCTCCCCATAGACCCCAAGTCCTATCAGTGTAAGAGAGCCCTTAGGGCCACCTCGGGCTCTGATCCCACAGGAGCCCTCCTCGGCTTCTTGGGTGCTCAACTGGACTTGAGGCTACACTCATCTGCAGTGCCCAGGGTGATGATGCTTCATTGCCTTGTCTACATGGGATGCCGGCCCCCCACCCCAGACCTGGGCCCCTGCCCTGCTCAGCTGCTCTCTTGTGATGACAACTCCCCCTGCACAAAAAAAGAGGGGGTTGGGGGAATTCATTGTGGAAAAGGTTTTATCAGTGAATTCCAAAGCAATGAAAAGTCATTTCCCCTTCGTCACAGGGGTTGCTGATAATTCAGATGGAGTAAGAACCTAGACTATTTCAGCATCACTTTTACTTAGAGGAGAAAAAAAAAATAAATCTCACCTTAAGAGAGAAAAACATTTATGAAGGTTGGGTGTGGTCTGGGACTAAAACCGATGCACAGCAGGCACCATGCCTCTGAAGAAGGGTGGGGGTCTGCACGGAACTTACAGACATCCTCCCCACACGCACTTTGCCCTGGGAAGTCACTAAGGGGCCAAGCAGGACCGGGGCACCCACACCTTCACCTTTGCTGACTAAGAGTGACCCCTGTTATACCAACCCAGGGACATTGGCTTGCCTCAAGGCACAGCTTCCCCAAAATGTGTTCCTGAGGGAGGCGGCAACCCAGCCACAGACTACAGGCCTACAATCAGGTGTACCTTGTCCTCCTGTCCTTTCCTCTCCACCTTACCTGCTCCGAGCAGCCTGGGCAAAGCCACCTCATTGCAGCCTTCTTTGCCACCTATGACAGCAGAGGCATTCCTCTCATCCTCATGTTATACAAAAAGGGGAGGGATGAAAGTTACTCACTCTTCACAGGAGATCTGAATCCTTCTTCCTTTCCTTTCAAAAATGTAAGGCCGAACTTCAGTGAATTAGCCCTTCTCCAGAAGGTATTTGGCACACAGAGACAAACCCCTGAATGCACCGATTGATGATAGAAATCTTGGCCTTGTCATAAGAGGGGACCTGCACACATCTTCGCCTATGCCTGGTTGATGGAAAGAGAAAAAGCCTCTGCCCCACTTTCCGCAACACCTGAAAACTGTTCAGTGTGTCCTGAAACAAATGGCTGTGCCGAGGGAAGAGCACTCCTCCTTCCATCGTGCATTTTGTCCGCCCATTCCAGTGATGGCGTAGTTGAGGGCATGACACAAAACCCTTTTATTCCTTTTCTACAAATTTCCACGTGACATTCACTAACAAAGCAATTGACATTGGTGGGGAGATGTCCTTATCCAAATATCTATTTGGATAGTGCCTTTTCTTTTTTTTTTAATTATTTTTTTTAAAAGGCATGCATATGCAGTACAAAATGTAACCAGGGCTCATGCAAGATACGTGTGAAGCTGTTAAAGCCAGATGCCCTATCTAAAGGTGTTCTGAGTGCAGAGAACCTGTCCTCCTCCTTCACTCACAGGCTCTGGGAAAGATCTGTTGCCTCCCCCTACCCAAAGACGGCACTTACAGGCTGTGGATTTGGAGGAGTGCAGACTTACCTGGGAAGCAGTCAGGTGCTGACTGTTCGAGCCCCACGTGTTATTCCATTGTGAGAACCACAGAAGGGCCAGCTGTGTGGTAGCTGGTCATGGTTCATTGTTATCTCACCAGAGAGACCTTCTCCGGGCTGGCAAGCAGCAGGGTCAGGGGAAATCCTGAGGCTTTGGGTCAATGAGATGATAGAGTTCGTGTGTGAGCTCAGCCCCAGGCACGCACTCTGCATCCGGCCAGCACCTCTTGTAGTGGGCAGGGTTTGGAGCCACCAAGTGCTCAGCCTGGGCAGAAGGTGCCAGGAGCTGAGAAGCCTGGAGGTGGGCAACACACAGGGCTGTCCCTGTCGGTATTTGACAGATTTGGGAGCGGCCCGTCTTTCTGATCCCTAGCATGGGGAGGGTTCTTTTTATCGGTGCCTGGGGATGATCACACTGCAGCGGTCTGTGTTCTCAAAGTAAACCTCCATTTGTATCCTAGGGATTGGTTTAATAAAAGGGGTGGGGCAGGGCAGAAATAGACACACAACATCACCTGTAGAGGGTATCACAACCAGGCACAGAAGATAAGGATACTAGAAAAGGACTGGGCCTGGAGACAGGCCAACGAAATGATGGAAGAGGAAAAGAGACCCAGTACGACACAGGGACTTGTTGTTCAGAAGAAACTGTTGTAATTGCAGGGATAGTTGCAAAACAGCGTTAGACCTGGGAAGTTGTGTTTCTTTCCAACAGGTTTACAGAACAAAACGCGATGAAGGACAAAGAGAAATTAAAGCAGAGTCACTTCCCCAAAGCTCCCTCCCTCCCAACCCGCGGAGCACCTCCGCGTGCTCTTTTCTGCCAAGGACGATGCCGTAGGGTGTCAGCGCCTGCCCTTCGGGTTTTGTCTGGTCTCTCATCTCCTGCATCCTTCCTGTTCATCACAGCAGACAATAGAGAAAGAAAGAAAAAAGGCATCAGTTAGCAAGGCTGCATGGGACCCACATCTCATCTTTCTAGCGCGGCAGCCTAGCATTCTGCTATCCACCATGTACAGAGTATGCAGTATATACATGTACCTAACAACTACAGTTCCCTCTGCAGCATCTTTGGTTGGCACAGCTCCTCTCTCTCCCACCAAGGGAGACCCAGCCAGCTTGGTGCCTGTTTTGGCAGTACTGTGACCTACGGTCTGTAGCCTGCATCTATTCCGTGACCTGCCAGAATATGTCCCCTCCTTCGCTTGCAGCGTATCACACCAGCTTGCTGGCTGGGCTTGGCTGACCTTCTGATTCCTGTGCCAGAGTTCAGTCCTGGTATTATTTGGGGAACTGGGGCCTCCTCCTGCCATCCACATTTATTCCCTTGTGAGTTCAAGGCAATAATTTGCCTCCACGAGGATGAGGCAGAAAGCGTCAGTGAGGCTTTTCTTTGGTCCACACGAGCCATTGCCCATCTGCTGTTTGCTGCCTTTTTCGAGAAGGAAACCTGCCTGTTTTTCCTGGGCTGTGTGCAGAGTGACTTTTCCTGCTCCAGAGTACCCTTTCTTTACTTTCCTCTCCCCTGCTTCCTCATCACCAGCTCTCTAACAAAAACCAGAAGATACTTTTTTCTTCAGTCAATGCAAGGGTATTACCCTTTCAATGCATTTTTAACAGTGAAGATTTCATTGGTTTCTTGTCCTTCTCCCTAACAGACCATGCAAACAGAGGCTCAGGAAGGGGGAAGGAAGAGCTGCAGAAGCTGTATTTTAATTGTGAGTGCGCCTTCTCGTTTTGCCTCTGAACGTTTCCACAGCGACCCCGTCGGCTGCATTTCTCGCTCTGGCGGTACGGTGGCACGCTGTCAAAACGCTGACAAGGACAAGGGGGTAGGCTCGCTAATAAGGCCTTCTATTTCAAATCTCACTGAGACGGCTGCCATTGTAGCAAAGCTTCTATATCAGGTCCTGAGCTACATGAAATCCTATTCCGAACATAAATAACACACCTCATTGTATACGACTTCGGCAGCTCGCCGTTACCCTGCACTGAGGTAGGGTTGTGTATGAACACTTGGAAATTCTAATTTTGAGAGAGAAATCGCAACCGCTTCTGGTAGTTGAGGGTGCACCTGGGACTTGAACAGTGAGATGTGCCCTCACAGCTCTTTTTTACTTAAGGGCGAGGCCATTTACACCCGTGACAAATCTCAGGGCGGTGATAACCACTGTAGCATGCTCTTGTGCTAGCACCCACCCGTCATTCAGTGCATAAAACAGCAGAGCTTCAAGAATCTGCATGGCTCCAGAGAGCAGCTCGCTACCTTGGCCTCGTTTTTACAGCAGCACAGCTACAAGCCACGTGAAGCATCGCAGAGCTGAGGGCAATAAAGCCCTCGTGACGTGAACCTGTTCTTCCCAGAACACAGACTGTACACAACTGGACTCTGTACCAGCCAGTATAGGCTGCCTGTCCTTTTCCTCAGCGATGCCAACAACCATTTGCTCGCTTACTCTTCTCCGTGCTGTCCCGCCTTCCAACAGTCTAGGACCAGGCACTGTCAAAATCCATTACCGCTGCAGAATGCTACTATGATATCTACTTGACAAATCCAACCTACTAGCTATTTTTATCTTTTTGTGCACGAGAAGCCCTGTGAGCCAAATTCTTTCCTTTGGAGCACCATCTTCCTTTTCATTTTTCTTTTTTGGTGAGCTCTAACTTAAATTGTGGTCATTTGCTGAGCAAGTGTTCAAGTAGAACTGGAATGGAAAGCTGGGGGGAAAACAGCAGTAAACACCTTACCTGTTGGTTACGCTTCTGGCACGCTTTCTGTGGGATCCTTCTTGCTCTCACCTTGGCTACTCATTTCAGCTGAAAACAAAACAGGACAGTTGTCACACGCTAGCCACCATACCCATTCGGTTTATCCCATTGCATAATAACCCCTCCTAGCCCGAAGTTTCACTCCGGCACCTAGTGGAGGTGCCCAGCTCAAGAGCTTACTGACCCTCCTTGGTCTCTGCAGGCCACCGACAGAGACACAGGACCCTCCAAAGGGCAATTTAGAGTTTTGCCAGGAAATGCAGACTCAACCCTTGCCTGTCGCTGCTGCCATGTCACCGTGCTGCAGCAAGGGGGTTGTACAGATGCGCGATTGTTTCTTTGGCATCTGAGAGGGAGATTTTTCACATCGGCCATGCTAACGAGGCCTGCGGATCCCTCAGCTCCCCTGCACAAGGAGCAAAAAAGAAGGATTCCCTGTGTGGAGCCTTCGGCCGAGATAGCAAAGCCTTTGATTTGAATGTCCGCGGGCTTTTGACAACGTCCCCAGCGGGATGCGGACCACGCCGTGGGCCAGATGTGGATCCATCTCTAATTACAGAGAAGCTGCCTCTGCCTCCGGCTGTTCTTGAACTGCAGACAGCAGGAGCCTGGGAGAGCAGACAGGGGCAACCGCATCATCTTCCTACACATACTCATTTACTCGCCTACGAACAGTTTACACAGACAACCTTCTATTTCCGTATAGAAGTACTGAAATGTGAGAAGGCTTAAGTCAATTTCAGTACAATCTTTGTCCAAAACAACATCTACATGATCTGGCATGTCAGATCGGTCCTCGCTAGGCTACATACACGTACAAGAGGGCTCCTTCAGCACGTGCATTTTCAGAAGGAACATTTGGTATTTGTTCTGGAATGAACTCAGTCAAGGTCATTTGCTGTTGTTTTCTGTTTTTAACTTTGCTTGATGATGTGGCCTCAGCTGTGGATTACGAGTCGTTTGATGTGGGGGTCAGGGAAAACCCTCACACCTGAATAGAAGATTCGGAAACTAAGAGGAGGCAAGGGGAAGCAAAGGGCCAACAGTTAGGAGCTACTTCCAGCCAGGCGGTATGACCTCTTCCCAAACTGATATCATATCAACACACCTGTTAGGACTTTGATGGATTACTTGTAAATTATTCATTATCCGTACGCAGAACATATCCCGTAACGGCTTCCTGGATGGATGGAGAGAATAACAAGGAAAGCATCCGCTCCAGATTGCGGAGCTCTGCCACACATCGCATCGAACGAGGTCGCGTTCCTCCTATGTGTCTGCATGGCAAAGGCCAGATACTTAATAAAAAATCCTTACGGGAAGGCTGCTGCACACCGATGCCTTTCTCAGCCTTATTAAGTTGGCTGGTTTCTCCGGCTTGGTTTTCTGATAGTGCCATCAGGCTTTGCTCATGTTTCTCCAAGATCTTTCTCAAAACACAAGCTTCCTTTGCAACCCGAGGCAAAGCTCTGCTGGCATGCTGAACGAGCACGCCTCCTTCCCACCCTTTCCCATTCTACAGGGATGAGCAGCTGGCCCCACTGCCGCAGACAGCACATTGCATTGACGTTGGTGAGTCGGAAACCGCTCAGGACCTCTCTGAGGGTGACACAAATGCCCAGTGGAGCCCTGGAGAAGCCCTGACACCTACAGCCAGTGGGAGGGCAGGAGGAAGCACTGAGTCCCACTGTTCCATGACAGAAACCACAGCTGGGCATCCCATAAGGCCAGTCCTGAAAGAAACCAGCGTGTGCACTCACAGGTGCCTTACTGCCAACATGTTTCTCTATCAGCTTTTCTTTCCACGTCACTGACTGAACCCAGCTCCCCACACGAACGCCAATAGGGACAGGAAGATCTAACTGAAGGCTAGATACGTGACTACGATGCTTCCAACATAATCCTTTATGGTTAGGCCAAAAACAACAGAGCCGTGAAGAGCCTGCCCTGAGGGCAGATGGAAGGACCGCCACTGGGTATGAAGGGCTGTGACTTGCCACCCACGCTGCCTCCCGGCAGGTTAGCCCCGGCGCACTACGCTCAATCACGTCGCAAGCCCACAGTGCCCTTCTTACTGCTTCCCCAACATTTTTAGAGGTGCTAAACACCACCTCATGTCAACAGTCTTCTGTGCCGACAGTGATGTGCTACAACGGCCACCAGCTCAGCCAGGTGCTCCAGCTCCAGGAGGCTGCCCACCACCTACACTCAGTTTTACCTGCCCCTTCCACACCTGTGTGCAGGGCTTGCTACAGCAGGAGCAGACATTTCCGTGTGATGGAAACGGACATCTCTCTGCACTCCTCCTATCCGTTCTCTGATTCAATTCTTGCCTGCAGGGGAGGGCCTGTCTGCTTTTCCTCCCTCCATCCATCAAGCTGCTTAACAGCTCTCAAGCGAAGCCTGGGGAATGGCTTCCCCTCAAAAGCAAGCAAGCTCCCCGCAAGAGGACAATAAAATACCCTGGCACATGGCTTGCACTCGCCAGAGCCCGGCAGCTGAAGGGGTGGATGTGCTTTTGCAGCATCCCGCCTCTACCCTGTGGGACAACTACGTGCTTAAAGGTCAGGTAGCTGGGCATCACAGCGCAGCATCTAAGCAGAGGAGACGGGTAAATGGGAGACTGGAAAACTAAGCATAGAGTCATCCAGGAGAGACAGCCTGTTTCCCCCCAGAGGATATTACCCTGTAGACCCAGGCAGCAGAGGACAAAAAGTATGATTGTGTTGATTTAAATAGGAGCTCTGTCAGACTCTTGCAAACATAACCTCTTTCTTCAGCTGCTTCCTAAACAATGTTTCCCTTTCCACCTATATAGCTCTGCGATAGCACGTTCAGCTGTAACTCCCGACTGCTCAGGAAAGCAAATTACCTATTTTGAATTGAACCCGCTGTGCCGCGATGAAAGCTGTGCACCTGTTTACTCGGTGGTTACCTTTTCCTTGGGTACTGCATCTACAACAGAAACGCGTGGCGGCGTTAGCTGCTGAGCTCTTGATTTTGTATCGCTCCTGTCAGCCACGGAAGGTCGGGGTGCTGGTGCCGAGCTCATCGGCTCATGGCGGCTTAAGAAACAAGCTCAAGTTTTGGGTTTAACGCCTCTTTTGAGCTCACTGCCTCATTTTCTTTTCTCCTATTGTGTCAGCAAGTCAAGACGCAGCGCTCCGCAGGCTCAGGATAAAAAAGGCAAGCAAGGAACTCCATTATTAAAGGAGTGAAGAGCTCGAGCCACCTAATAGCAGCTGGAAATTAACAGCTACCTTAGTAATCTTCACAGCTCTGGTGGAAGAGAAAAAATTGCCCATTCACAGAGAAACACCACCTGGGAAACCCATCGCCAATGGTGGGTTTTGTCGTTGTTAAAAATACTAACTGGCAACTCTGTCCTGGGTACAAGAAATTTAATTACCAGGGATCTTTGCTGCGGTTGCCGACAGCAACCTGTACGTTGGCAACAGGGCCCTGCATCCCTGTCTCTCTGTGCCCACTCAGGCTGACGTGCACCCCCGGCCCTGGCCCATCAGGCAGCTTTCCCAATGGACAATCACAGCCAACTTTCTGAGACCAGGAATTTCTGAAATATATCGCCACATTACATTACATCCCTGCTCGCTAGGTGGACCAACGCTGAGATCTAGCTAATCTCTCTAAACGCTGCATCTATGGAGTGCTTTGTCCTGTGACACGGAACATGGGATTGAAAAACAGAGCTGGGCTGCCAGGGGGCACCTGGTGATTTGCTCTTGGGCTTTCAGCTGTGGAGCGATGAGCTCCGATAGAAAGGGTCCAGAGAAAAAACAGGCAGTTTACATAACGAAAACTGTCAAAGGGAAACTTACTAGGTTTTGTAAATGTTCCCTGTCCATTTATAAATGTGGGGGCTTTTACAGTGAAACTTGACGCTTCAGATAAAGCATGAGGAGTTAGATCTTTCCTCCATTTTTTTTTATTTTTTATTTTTACCACGCAATAGTTTTTTGAATGTGTACTGTATGACCACATGAAAAACAACCTTCTGTTACCATCCCGAGAGCAAGTTAAGTTGTGGAGGAGTGAAGGCTTCCCTTGAGAGCAGAGTACTTTTCTGCAGCTTGAGTAAACACACTTTTCCCATCATTTCATGTAACAGGAAGTTTGCAGAAAAGTTACAGGATGAGCTATGTGTAGAAGACCTTATGAGATGAGCGAGAATGGAAACAAAGAAACCTACAAAGATCGGCACTTCAGAAGCCATCTGCTGACCCCACTGTGCTGCACTGCAGCGTGCATCACGATAGCTGTGCCATCGCTCCTCTTTCCAGTGGGAAATTCCTACAGACACTCCTCTGATAAATCTGAATTTGTTTTCTGTAAGTAGCTCATGCCACTCCAGGGATCAGAAATTAAAGCAACATAACGCGACTACAGATTTTTTGGCAGGTCTGTTATGGGGGGATGAGGAGAGAAGGCTGTTTTGGCTTTATTTGGCACGCTTACTATCGAAAGCATAATCTCCACTATTTACAAAACAAATGCAACAAAACCCATTAGGCATGCTTCCATTCTCTAAAATCGCAAAAGCTCCTCTACAGCCAGTATCAGCATCGGCCACCAGTTCAAATGCTGCAGCATGATCTGACAGCAGAGAAAGGAAATCAGCATTCAGTTCTTTGCATAATCGCTATCACATTCTTATAGTCGTATTTCTAACTTGGAGATCTAAAAAAGTACACTTTGAATTGTTATTACGTAAATGCCAAAGAGTTTCAAGGGTGGATTTGGAATCAGTCTTCACTACAGACAGGGGACTACTCTGGGATAACTAAGAAGATGGTGACTGGAAAGCCCAATTCTGAGAACACTGCTTTTTGGAGTCCACAAAGAGCACCCAAAGAGTTCCTGATGTAGTTCTGTTCAGCTATAGGAGTGCATCTATGAGGGTGGTAAATTTTTGGCCTCACCAAAGTCTAAGCACTGGGGCCTTGATCCCAGTCCAGAAAGAGCACAGAAGGCCTTTTTCTTGTTTACATGCCGATGGGCTGGAGCAGGGTCCCGGTACTCAGCCAGGCAGCTAGGTCACCCGCTTACTGAAGGTGTCAACCAGAACAACTTCATCAAGCTCCAAGTCGGGAGACTCAGGCTGCTAATGTTCATAAATCCAAGCAGAACCACTGCTGGGTTCTATGACAAAATCGTCATAGTACTGTTAGCAGTACATGCTCTAGGGAGAGAACTTCTCTTTTCTACCAGCCCAAGCTACGCTAGGACTCCAAGGAAGAAGAGAAAGGAAGTCAGCTCAGAGCTGGATGGAGCCTGATGCCTATTAGAGGTCAGCACATGAGTTCACACTCCTACCCCCTTGACAGAGAGAGACACTAGCTCAGAAATTTTCAGAACTATTCCTTTCTGACTGCTCTCCAAAACCAGATACATCCTGGCCAAAACAACCTGTGAAACAAAATTCTTGCAGGCCTAAACTACCGTTGAGTTACAAGGCAGGCAGATTGAATATACCAACTGACCGGATAAACAGAGTCAATTAGCAAGGTGGGAGTATGGCACCGAAAGGTACTTCCACCAGACTTCCAAGAAGTCCCAGGGACTCCGTTTCATGAGAAACATACTCTGCTGTATCTTGATGGGACACTCGGAACACGGCTCCAGACATCAGAGACCTAACTGGCATCATTGCATGAACTTGCATAAGTCTCTTAACAGGTGACAGTAGACATCACATAAGCTCCCAGAGGACTCGGTGGAAGGCATTGTAAACCTCTTATTTTGAGGAGAAATGTACAGACAAATGCTAGAAAACTATGCTACATATTCACTTTAGGACAACTAAACTATTAGAACAACTTACCATCATTACTTGAAGCTTCTGCTGCTTCGCATGTGAGTTCAACTTTCATTGGCTCTGCAGAAGTTTCCTCCTCCTCTTGCATCCCTGTAAGACAAGCCAAAGGAGAAAATATTATACTTAAGTGCATAATAAAATAATTCTCACCTTCGCCAAGTGTGTGCGTATTTTTTTTTTCTTTCTCTCTCTCTCTCCCGGCATGCTCTTATCTTTGCAGACTCTACTGCTGCATTGAGGCAGCTGTTAAGGAAAAGGGCAGAGGATATAGGGGGAGGAACATGGTTTGAAAATAATTGATCGAATATTTGCAGTTGTCTGCACCCATTCCTAAACAGCAAACCCCATCACAGTGCGGGCTTCTGCCTCCCCGCCATCCTTTCCCTCATCATTTTCAAAGGAGCTCTTTGCTCATAAACAGCTATATGTGATGGGGACCTAATCACACTCAAGTTTCTCTAGCCAGCAGAATAAAAATGGATACTGTGAGAGTTCAAATACACTGGTGGTCAGATGCAAAATAGAATTTGAATGTAGGAAAATGCATTTTATTGCTGAAACTCAACATTTTTATCTCTTCTGCCTCAGGCTTACCTGGAAACTTAGATTCAATCTCCTAACAATATTTGAAATGAAGGGAAAAAAAAAATGTTTTTTGCAGTTTCATACACAGTTCTCCTCATGCTCTGCTATTCAGAGCACTCAGAAGCCTGTTTTTCGTTGATTTCCACCAGGGTGCTTCTTGACTTTTGCAGCCACCGTAAGCCTGTTGCACCTATCCCGTGGTTCAACGCCAGGATGTCAAGCTGCTGGTTGCTTAGCAATCGAGCCGTTCAGGCTGCTCTTACGAGACAGCCAAGCGTAGCAAGGACTGGAATGTTTCATAAACGCTTTCCTTTTGAGCACAAACCATTTACCACCTCAGTAACAGATATAAAACAAAGTCCCACATTCAAAGTCTGTCCCTTTCCTATACAGTTCTACTGTATTTTGTTTTGGTTTTGTATTTTTGTTTGTTTGTTTTGTCCCTAAACACATATTTACCACTGAAGTTTTCCTTCTGATGTACCTGCAAGCCGACACACCTTGATGGAGCCGGTAGCCTCCCCCACGCTCCCTGTGACAGCAAGGCTCTCACAGGCAACTTCCAGCATGCTCCTGAAGTTCTATTAAGCATGAAAATGCTGAAACAAAGAGCCAGCAAATACAGAAACCAACAAAAAGCAGCCACTAGAAAGCTTGGTTCACCGTTTCAGTGAATGTGGGGGAAAGGGCGATGGATGACTTTACAGTCGGAGAGATGTCACTCATCCTTTCAGTAGATCTTAGTTGTATGGCAGAAGCCCTTTGGTGGGTCGTCATACCACCAGTTTCACCTCTTCCTCACTGGTGTAAGTCACCGCCCTGCACAGACACACAAAATGCCTGAAAATGCCTGCGATGGTGAACTTGGCACGTCAGCGAATGCCGGTGATGGCCACTTCACGCGCACGTCAGATCCCTGATGCTCCTCCCGGGAACTGAGGAGAACGAGCTTGGTTTTCTCCTGAGGCTTCTCACACAACAAGAAGCCCATCGCTCTTCTTTGCTCGTACAGAGGGTAAGCCCATGTCACTCCACCGTGGAAGTGCGTATGCACACACCAGGAATTTGCCAAGCACAAGGATGGTAACACTTGAAATCTGCCTGATTCCTTTGAGCAAACTCACCACGAAATCTGGGCAGCCATCAAAGCACTCCTTTTTGAGGAAGCTACTCTGAAAGATCTCATTTGTGCTCCTTTTTGATTAGCTTGGGGAAATAGCTGTACGCAAAACAACGTTTGGGGAAAATTACTGCCCCGCCACCAGTGCAGCCCGTGCCGAATGCAGCGTTTCCCACCAGGACGCTCAGATGTCTCCTGTGGGGATCCGGGCTTCTCGCTCAGCACCAGCGCACTCCGACTGGCAGCTGATGCCTCTGAATCAGGCTTTGCCTCCTCTCAAACACCGTCTATTAACCAAATAAAGCAGATGTGATGTGACAGGTTGTGTCTGGGCTCCCAGCTCCTCTAACAGCTAGAGATACCGTGGCGGCTGGCAGCTTCTGAAGACGCCTGCACGGAGCTCCCCAGCCCTATCCCAAGATCTCCCATTAACTAGCCGGCATGCCTGGCTGCCCTGCGCTGCCAAAAGGTTTCTTGCTTTCAATTTCAGAAACCTCTCATGCAGCTGACAGGTGCAAAGGATTATTGGCATGATGCTAGCTGAGGACAGAGCCTAATTAAAGCCCCGACACCTTGAGCACGCATGTGCGTGTTTGGGTGTGCACGTGCACGTGTGTGCTAATTGGGGCTGCTGGTGCAGGGAGTGGAAGGCATTGAGGGCCCTCAATACCAAAAGCTGAGGCCAGGAAGGGGGCTACAACAGCAGCAGCAGATCGGCCAGATGACCTTTCACAAGGTTCAGGGCCACGAACGTTGTCAGAAGAACACTAGTGGCTTGATCTGTGTTTTCCCCTTCCTCCCGAGACCAAGTAGTTGAATTCCCACCCCTTTGGGGACTGGATTATGGCCACATCATGATTTTTATGGCATATGTTGATTGTTGCATATTGTGAGCAAGAACACGATAGCGAAAAACAACATTCAGGGACAAAAAAGGCAGAAGACATTTTAATCCTTAGCAAAACTGAGTACCACTGGGAGCTTTGCAAGGACGTTTGTACATTGTACCAGCTGATCTTAGGGAAGACTTTCAAACTCTTTTAACGTAAACCTTCATCTCTTCCCTTGCTCTTCTTGTGGGTGGGGGGTAGCTGTAGTCTCTACCCTGACACATATGTGGAAAGGGTATGATCCACAAAGCTTCTCCCCTGCCGTGCCATAAAACTGAGCACCTTACAGAAGCAAGCCTATTTCACAAAAGCGGCAGAATCTGAACCAGACCAGAACCGCCTTGACAGCCAATTTATTCCAGAGGCCTCCCCTGCCCCCCACTGGTTTCGATCGCTGCAGGTTAGAGCACAAACAAGCAAGGTATTTTGGGTCTCTGAGCGGGAGCTGAGCGTTACGGACTCAGAAGAAGCCTGGGAGATATCCCTTTCAATTCCAATTACCATTTCCAATCATGCTCCTGACAGAGCTCATTGCCCCAGCCCTTTGTAGGCTGCCTACAGAACTAGCAAAGCCGTGGGTGACAACTGGATTCTGATGCAGGTAAGAGTGGCTCCCACCCTTTTTAAACACGCAAGATAAATATTTACTAGGGAGATAGAAATCTCTGTGCTCTTATTTCATCTTTTTTTTCTCCTTTACGGTTACAATCTGTCCGTGGTTCCACGTGGCTCCAGCTACCCCGCCACTCTTTCTCTGGGAAGCACAGCTCCCAGTTGAGGTTCAATGCACGACATTAAAATGAAGATGTGTTTGTGGTCTGTTAGCATCAATTCTAAAAGTACCTGACTACAGAGGTCAGATATCTGTTGCTTCTCCATACTCCTGATAAATTGATAAGTGAAAAGCATAACCCTCCTCCTTTTCCCTCCTCACGAGGCTTATATCTATATCGAGCGATGAAATCGGGCAACTACGTGGGCTTAGAAGCTATAATGCAGAGCAATCCATAAAACTCATTTTTGCCCGATCATCAGCAAGGCTTTGCTGTATACTGAGGAGTGCCTTTGTAATCAGGAGAGAGAAGGCAGGCTCCTCTCCCAGGTAATTCAAAGCAAAATCCTACCTCAGTCTCTCTAGAATCAATGAATCTCATTCCTGGAAGGTGCCGCAATTGGGTTTCTGCTCTCAGCTGCCCAGCTCCCGGGGGGTTATTTCTCACCATTAGCTGTTGAGGGAGCGGGGGAGATCAGGTGCTCTTGGCAGAGCCCAGCCTCCAAGCTGCGCCTTGGCAGCACCCTCCTGCCGGTCCCGAGCAAGGGCTTATCAGATGGGCTTTGAAGCACGAGGCTGGATTTCTGCAATTAGTTCCCAGCCTCTTCTAATGCCAGGGCCGAGCTTTAAGACAAACAGAATATGAGATTTCATGCATGAGTGAGGTGCACCGGTGCAATCAGCCAACACCAAGATAACTTAAACCTTCACAAATCCCCCATCCTAGACGTCTTGCAACCACGTGTGAAATCCTTGCCCTAGGACCGTTCTGAACTCTTGAAGAAAAAACAGTTACCAATAACACAATGGTTCAAGGCTAGGCTATTTTTTTTCCAGTAAAACGGCACAGTTGTTGCATCTGGAAAACCTCTGCCCAATGGTTTCAGGTAACACCGCAGGATTTCTAACAAAATGCTATCCTGTCCATGGATGATTTGCAGCCGGGGGACATTCATTACATTATTTGCCTAGCAGTTGCTTCTGCTCTGGTTATATACCTTGAAAAAAATCACCTCCGTAGGTTACATAATGTGAAAACGACATCGTAGCTATTCTGAGCGATCCAGATTTCCCTGATTCAGAGCCATGAAATACAATTTATTGTTTTTGCATTTAGCTGTAAATATGCTTCCCCTAATTGGGAGACAGTGAGAAAGAGAGGCTCGTTAAAATCTGAATTTCTCTGGCTACAGTGCAAAGGCACCATTTTTCATCCGCAGCCACAAAAATGAAAGACAAAGCTCTTCTGACCCAGAGCTGCATTGTCTGATCTGTCAAAACCGGTTCCATTTCTCTTGCTCTGCAAATAGCCAGGGCTGTTTTTCCCTTCTTCCCAGTCATTTCACTGTAGCCGTTTGCTAATGTTACTGTCAAGCCTTCACGGGCTTTGTTTACTGCTGTATTTTAGTAGCATAAACGCCGTTTCACTTAGGAACTAAGGGGCCTGGTTTGACTCCTATTCACCACCTCCATCTGGCACGAGTGACCCTTTCAGCCAGACCAAATTCTCTCACAAAAAAGATTTATGATCTCTTCATGTATGGCTCTATGTGCAAAACCACCCCCACCTGCTGCTCTCAGGGCTCTAAATCACAGCACTCGTGGCCCATCTTAATTTTGTTATGCTGATGATCGAGGACAGTTTCTCCCTCGCCATCCTTCCACGATGCCCAGGTCAAGTATGAGGTGCGATCAGTGCAGCTTCACAAACAATAAACATCTC